GGGACTTACGGTCTTGTACAGTCACACAAATGGTCAAAGCATTTCACGAACAAGGGGAAAATTGCAAGCTGTGACCAGGGTCCCCAAAGGGAAGCTGAAACCCACCACAGAGCATTTACACTGCTAATTCCCAGCTGGAACTTGCCTCCCCAAGATACTCTCACCACTGGTCTCCCGACCTCTTCTAGATCATTCCCCTGTGAGGAGCTTGGCCGACCATCCCCCTACCCCAGGACCCTCCTACATTCACACCCTTCATGGGTTATTCCTAGTCATTGGGCCACCTCTGACCTCCCACATTCCTCTTTCTTACCTTAGCCTCTTCTGCCTCAGTTATTCTAAACCTCTTTCGGTCAGGTCATCCCCTACTGGTCCCTGTTCACTGCTAGTGTCCCTCTTGGCTGGCACCCTTACCTGGGGGGCCAGACTGCATAGGTTGCCTTTGCAAACATTCCCTTTTCCCTCTGTCATTGGCAAAATCCTACCTTAGTTATTCCTGGCTCTCTGGTATCCCTGCACCCAAGGGCCTGAACCTTGTCCCCATTCCTGTTCCTGATCACAAATCTTCAACAAGCACTTGACAAACCAGACAGTCCTGGGTCCCCCTTCTCCCCTGAGAAGGGTGTTGTTTTTTTTTTTTTCTCTTTTTGTTTTTTGAGACAGTCTCACTCTGTTGCCCAGGCTGGAGTGCAGTGGTGACATCATAGCTCACTGCAGCCTCAAACTCCCGGGCTCAAGTGATCCTTCCGCCTCAGCCTCCCAAGTAGCTGGGACTACAGGCACGAGCCACTGCACCCAGCTCCTCAGAAGTGTTTATGTGGCATCTTCTCCCTTCTCAAACCTCTTCTGGGGCCCTCACCTGGGCCTTGGTGACAAAGAGAAACCACAGGCTTCCAATACTTTCATCTCCCCCCAGGAAGTGCCCCAATTCCTCCTGCTTCCGCCTGAGTCCCTGACCCTGGCAGAGCCCACACCGTGGGTGTGCATGCTGGCCAGAGCTCATCCTGCCTGGAGACCGTATGGGGCCGGCGTCCTCCTCCCTCTGCACACTCTTTTCTGTCCTGTTGGCACGTTCACATCAGCAAACAAACATACTCTAACATCCCCTTCCTCAAAAAAGCCCTCTTTGCCTCTGTCTCTCTCCAGTGATAGCTCTGTCATCATGACAATCACCGTCTCCACCTCATCACCTCACCCACTCAAGGCAGATTTCTGCCCCCGCTCTCAGGGGGGTCTCTCCAAAACAGATGTGCCTGCCAGAGGCCACTTCTTCTTTCTGCCCAAGACCCTTTTCTTTCCTGGAGCTCAGAACTCCACACCCTCTGGCTTTCCTTCTATATCACCAGGGCCTCCTTCTTGTCCTTCTCTGCTGGTCCCTAAATGCTGATGTGCCCCCAAGCTTGTTTCTGGGCCTCTCTGTTCTCTCACATTCTCCTCCACTCATACAGCTTTAAATACTACCTTTGGGACAATGACTTCCAAACCAACACCAACCTCCTCTGAGCTCCAGAGTCACATAACTAAGCTATTGTCATGATGTCGTCACTTGAATGTCCAGTGGGCACCTCAGATTCACTGTGGACAAAACACAATTCTTTTTTTTGAGACAGATTCTCACTCTGTCACCCTAGGTAGAGTGCAGTGGTGTCATTGTACCTCACTGCAACCTCAACCTCCTGGGCTCCAGTGATCCTCCTGCCTCAGCCTCCCAAGTAGCTGGGACTACAGGCACATGCCACATACCTGCCTAATTTTTTCTGTTTTTGGTAGAGATGGGGTTTCATACATGCTTAGGCTGGTCTTGAACTCCTGACCTCAAGTGATCCTCCCGCCTCGGCCTCCCAGAGTGCTATGATTACAGGCGTGAGCCACCGTGCCTGGCCAAAATGGAATTTGATTTGTCCCTTCTAATCCTCCTTTTCTAGTCTTACCCATCCCAGAGGCTTAGAGAGACAAATAAGAGATATATTTAATTCATTTCTTTCCCTCACCCATTATAACCAAGTGATGTCATTGCTTTATTTCCAAAATACATTTCAAATCTGACTTCTCCCCCAGATTTCTGCCCCCACCGGAGTCCAGGCTGCTGTCATCTCACGCCTGGTCATGGTTGCAGCCTCCTTTTTAGTACCCCTGCTTCCACCTTTGACTTACAATCCAACCTCGACATGGCAGCCAGAGGGAACTTTTCAAAACATGAATTTGGCCGTGATTTTGCCTTGCTTCAAATGAACAGCTTCCTATTAAACTTGCAGTCAAAGCCAAACTGCTTTCCACGCCCTGCAAGGTTCAATGCCATATTGCTCTCGTTGGCCTCTCCGGTTTCTCTTTCCCCTACTCTGGCTCACTAAGCTCCAGGTACTTCCTGTTCCTCACTCGTTCCCCTTTGGGTATGTTGAGGAAGGAGAGAGACTGGATGTAGAGTGAGTAGGACATGGTGGCTGCTGGTGGGTGTGTACAAGAAAGGCCTGATAAGGGCATTTGTCAGAAGTGGGAGCTGAGCCCTGCTCCACTCACCATAGCGAAGAGGTTGTCATAGCCTTTGACCTTGGTAGGCACCTTTGAGAACTTCTGGTCAAAAGCATCTGAGATGTTGTGGGCTGGGTCTGTGGAAATGATCAGAACGCTCTCTCGCCCCTTGGAAAGCTGGACTGCCAGGCTGCAGCTGGGCAAAAGAAAGGGTGAATGGTGGGGGAGTGAGGGGTTGGGCTCTGTTCCCTGGATCTGCAAGGAGAGAGGTAGCGTCCCAGGATCAGGCGATCCAGTTCAGCAAGGGCCTAGAGAGGACAGTATGGGTCACTGTGGGATCAAGTCTCAATCCCTGCAGGGGAATCCCTTCAGACCTCACCTACCGATCCCTCCTATGTGGACTAGAGTGGTAAGGTTTAGCTGATTGAGTCCATTTGGCTTGGTCCTTGTTTCTTCTTTATTTGGCACAGAGCGGAATGGCATAGCTTGACTCTGTGGCCCTTCCCTCAACTCTAAACTAAGTGGTCCCTAGCACTCCGTGTTAACCTCAAAATGGTTCAATCTATTTGTCCAGGACAATCTGCCCAACGAACCCCTCCTCCCCACTGCTGACAAACACAGTCTGATCCTATGCCATCTCCTCTGCCATCCACCACCAACGTCGCCCTGGGCATAAAATGGCAAAGTTCACCTGACTAGGATAGCTTGCTCCGGTGCCCTTCCTCCTATTCTGAATTCACTCGAGATTAGTCCAGCTGATTGGGACATCTAAGCGCTCCGCCGCATTGGGTTAACTGAGGTTCAGCACTGCACTTGCGCACCAACAGGGATGGTCCAACTCAGAAGGTGCAAGGTTTGCACTGAGCCGGTACCTTCCATTTGCTCCACGTAACTTCGAGAGAGTACAACCCGAAAGACCCCAGCTCAGCCCCCTTGCCCTCGGAGTGGAAAAGCCGGTCCTTGGCCTCCCCTTCGCCCAGTGGTACATCCCACCCGCCTTCCTGGCCCACGCCGCCGCCTCCTTACCTGCAGGTGGTCTTGCCCACGCCACCTTTGCCCCCGACGAAGATCCACTTAAGGCTGCGCTGTTCGATAATGTTACTAAGCGTAGGATCCAGCGGCTCCACATCAGGCGCATCCTCGAACTCCTCCGCCTCGACCCCCCACCCGGCCACCCCTGCCGCCATCTTGGAACCGGCTCACGTGATCAAGCGGAGCGCACCATGCAACGTTCCTGCAGGGGAAATCCTCTATCGCATCCCCATCGAGGTTAGGAGCCTGAATTAATTTCCTCGCCGCTTGTCTTTTAGGAGCAAACAGAAACTATATTTTCACTGTTACCTGCTTCCAAGGTTCACTTTGTCGACTTTTGGTCTATATTTTTCCAAGGACCTTCCCTTGCCTAATGAACATATTGGTAGCGTCCAGGCTGCTCCCCTTCAGTGATTGGACCCTAAATCTTGCAGCACTTCTTTCATTGGCTACATCTTTTCTTACTTCCACCAGTAACTCTCACGTCTCGGTAGCCGCGAACCTCTCCTTAGCAACCGGCCAAACACCCTGTCCAGGCTCTTTCGGTGAAGTTAGAGCCGAGGTCCGCCTTGGCCTGATTTCATAGGCTGAGCTTCCTGTCAATCATCCCCCCCTGCCTTCTCCCAGTTGGGTCCCAACCTTGCCTCAGGTCCGCCCCCTCTGCTATTCAATTGCCTGTGAGCCACCTGGCTCCTGTCGCAAACCAATCATAGACGAATTGATTACCAGGCCGGAGACAGGTCCAGGCGCTGACCGTGGGTTAACCGGAACACAACTCCAGTTCTGGGCAGAGTCCGCAAACCCCCTTGTCCAGCACTCCCTGAGCCCCAATGCTGGGCAGGCACCATACCTGCAACTGCTCTCCTTGTCGTAGAAGGGATCCTAATTCCTGAAAACCTCCTTGCATATTTCCTATTTTAACCTCTGCCCTGGGGCAGAAATACAAGCCCTAGGCGCGGACCCCATTCCAGAACACTCTTAACCTTAGAGCGGGGAGACTTGAGGCTAGAAATACCCCTGGCTTCATTTGAATACTCTAGCCTGTAAAATAACCTTGTTCTCAGACGGGGACCCCAGCTCCACACAGCCAGCTATGTCCTCATTCCCACATGTGAGCTTCATCCCAGAGACAGGCACCCCACTCAGAGATACCCCTATTTCTAGTCGGAGCTAGATATGCCCTCTAGACCTAGGTAGGGACCCAAATTCGGAGGTGTCAGGTGAGAATACAGCCCCAAACGGAATTCTTCCCTTCGCAGAGATTATTCCTGGTGCCAGAAAGCTAATGCGCCACCAGTTCCAAGCAGAAACCCCACTCTGGAGAGTCAGCTACAGCCCCAGTCCCATTCCTGGGGAGCTCCTGTCTGCAAAACGCCACCTTGAGTCTCCCTGGATTATAAAATAACAAGGGGTGGGGGGGGCCTCCCCGCTGCCCCGCCCCGTCCGGGTCATACCCCCTTCGCCCCGCCCCCGGTTCCGCCCCCCACTGCGGACGCCTGAGGGCCGGACGCTCTTCCCGGCATGCATTGTTCGGGACGAGGCAAGTCGGGCGCCAAGCGCGGGGCCGGAGCGGCCTTCCCGGAGTCCTTTGCGCGGCACCTGGCGACAAAATGGCTGCCCGAGGGAGACGGGCGGAGCCTCCGGGCCGGGAGGCGCCGGGCCCCGCGGGCGGTGGCGGCGGCGGGAGCCGATGGGCTGAGTCTGGGCCAGGGACGTCGCCCGAGAGCGGGGACGAGGAGGTGTCGGGTGCGGGTTCGAGCCCGGTGTCGGGCGGCGTGAACTTGTTCGCTAACGACGGCAGCTTCCTGGAGCTTTTCAAGCGGAAAATGGAGGAGGAGCAGCGGCAGCGGCAGGAAGAGCCGCCCCCGGGCCCGCAGCGACCGGACCAGTCGGCCTCCGCCGCCGCGGGCCCCGGGGATCCGAAGAGGAAGGGCGGCCCGGGCCCCACACTTAGCTTCGTAAGGAGCCGCGGGGGTGGGGGCGGGCGCCAGGCCGCGCCTTGGCAGAGGGAATTGGGGCCTGAGGGGGGATCGGGATCCAGGTCCACTTTCTGCCCGGATGAGGGGGCCGTCCTAGCGGGCCACACCCGCTGAGGATGTGGAACCTGGATTTCCCGACTGGGGTTCGGGGGGCGGGGGTGGGGACCCCCGAAGCCTGCCCGCGGGAACTGGGAGCCGAGGAATTGCACTGGAAGCAGCACTCTGGGGATGGGGAAGCTTGGATACCAGGATTCCTGTTTGAGTGGTACGTGGACTTGGATGGTGGGACCATCCCCTATTGTGGGGAAGGAGGGCAAATGCAAGTCCTAGAGTTTGAGCTGTCTATATTAGACTCAGACCGCTTACTGTGTAGGACAATTACTTAGGACAACTGCTTGATTTTCCTGAATTTCATTCGACCAGGGTTTATTTACTGAGCACCTTACCTTGTGTTGGGCATTGTGCTACGTGCTGGGTATGTAGTAGTGGTGAACATGACAGAAAAGATCGCTGCTTTCCTGGAGCCTCTGGGCTGGCCTACCCTCATTTTCCCTAGTTGCAAAAATGGACATTATCGCATCTTCCGATGTGGGGGTTCTGTGAGGTCGTTGTGGAAAAGTGGTTAGCACAGGGCCTGTCTTATATAGGAAGGGCTAAAACAGAGGTTCTCAGTTGGGGACGAGTCGCTCCACCCCCACATTTTGCAAAGTCTGGAGACGTTTTTGGTTGTCGGAACTGCGGGAGGGGGTGCTAGTGACATCTATGGGTAGAGGCCAGGGATGCTGCTCAACATCCTACAATGGGCAGGACAGCGCCCTGCCCCTCCCCCCCAACAAAGAATGATCCAGCTCAAAATGTCATTAGTGCCAGGTCGAGAAACTCCAGGCTAAATAAATAGGGCATATATCGATTGTCAGCTCTGAGCTTGCTTTGTCTCTGGTGTTGACATCTGTTCCCTGTAGTGTGGAGGAAAAAGTGCTGACTTGAGAATTAATGGACTGGGGGTTCAGTCCTGGAGTCAGTTGTGTGATTTGGGACAAGCGATCCACTTCTCCAAGCCTAGTGTCTTGCATCTGTCAAAAATGGGTGTGAGAATAGTCCCATTTTAATGCCTGGTGGAGGGGTGGAGATGGGATGATGTCTGTGAAGGCTGTTGCAGCCCCTGGAGCACAAGAAGCCCTCGATCGATGGGAGAAGATGAGATACCAGGATGGAAGTCCAGAGAAAGACTTCTGTTTAAGGAAGGGGAAGGCAGGATAAAGTGTTAGGACTTGGGTTGGTGTGACAATTGAGGATGAAGGCTTAGTATCCCTCCATGAATGGGAGTAGCAGTAATTGTCCCTTTTTCATTTGTTTACCGAGGGGTCATTCCATTGCAGTTGTACCCTCAAAGAGGCCAGGCCAAGTTAGGTGTAGGGGAGACAATGTTGCTTGGTGACTAAGGATGCTGCTGAACCACCTGACCCTGAAGCCAGCTCACTTGTTTGTTGCCGGCATGACCTCTCCTTCTCAAAGACTGTTTCCTTGTCTGTAAAATGGGGTGGTTATAACCTTTGTCTTAGGGTAGCTGTGAAAGTGAAAGGAGATGACACAACCACAGCACTCAGCACAGGGCTTAGCATACTGTAAGTGCTCAATAAAGGGAGCTGTTGCCACCTACATGGTCCCTGCTAGGGAAACATGAGGCCTTGGCATGGAGAGTGAGGGCAGAGCTGGTCCCCACCATGGTGGGAGAGCTGCTTTCTCCCTGGGAGGGCAGCCCAGGGCCCAGGACAGGCGCTAAGAGTCGCGTGTGCTCCTCTCTGATTGCTGCGCAGGTCGGCCGGCTGGCGGAGCTGGGCGCGGCGTCGGGACGGGCCACCGGGCCGGGCTAGGAAGGTGTAGTGGGCCTCAGCACCGCCAAGGGCGGGCCCGGCTCCTGTAACCGTTGCAGTCTTCTGTCCCTTCACCCAGGTGGGCAAACGCAGAGGCGGGAACAAACTAGCCCTCAAGACGGGAATAGTAGCCAAGAAGCAGAAGACGGAGGATGAGGTGAGCAGGCCGGGTGTGGGGGCCACCTGAGTTGCCTTTCCCTTGCAGCCTTTGCACCCCCTTGGTGGAGCCTCCTCCCCCCCGTCCAGTGGCTGGGCCTTGGATGGGCATGTTGGGAGGGATTTCAGGTGTCCACAGATAACTTGACTCTGCATCTTTACCTCAAACCCAGGGCCTTGGTGGTGACACTGGGGTTGGGTCAGCTGTCTCAGGACAGTCCTGACCCTAGTTCCTGGTGTCCCCCTCCCAACCCCTATCCCCCCACCTGCAACAGGTATTAACAAGTAAAGGTGACGCTTGGGCCAAGTACATGGCAGAAGTGAAAAAGTACAAAGCCCACCAGTGCGGCGATGATGATAAAACTCGGCCCCTGGTGAAATGACCCCCTCCCCTGCCTGCCCACGGCCTGGGACTCTCTGCGATGTACATAACTATTTAATGCAGCGGCAGCGGCGGCAGCGGCAGCCTTCCCCCCGAGGACTTAAACGCAGAAGGAAACAGAGATGCTTCCCGCAGCTGCGGACGATTCTCCAGGACTCTTTTTTTACCTTGAGCACTTGCCTCATGAGACTTAATAGAACAGTGGTTTACTATCCCTTCTCTTCCCACCTCCTTCCGCTCTCTGGCTCTTTCTGTCTTCCTCTTCTCACCCTCCTCTTTCTTCCTCCCCTTAGCATCACTTCTGGGAAGTAAAGAACTTGACTTAGTGCTGGAGCTGTGTGCTTGGTTTGTCTTTGTGTTCCGGAACCTACACCCTCCCCATGGGCTGACACCGGAACTGTCAAAGCCCGGGTCTGGCCTGGTGGGGGCTGGGGTAGGAAGGACAGGGACACATCCCCCTTCTGTGGGTCTAGACTCTCCTCAAGACCCATGTCCCCTCACCCCTGACTGCAGCCCCAAGTGTGGCACCTTAGGTTCTGTTTCTCTTCACAGTCCCATTTTGGCTGGGCCAAGGATGTGATGTTGTTCATTTGGCAGACACTGTAGAGGACATGTGACGTGCCAGGCCTGTTCTAGGTCCCCGGGTCACAGCTGTGAGCAGAACAGACCACAAACAACAAAGGGGAAGCCCTTTGGGTGGTGACTGCTAACAAGTACAGGCTAGATGTTACAGAGGAAGGGGATGTGTCTTTTAGGTGACATTTGATCAGAGTCCCGAGGAGTTGAGGCAGCATGTCCAAGGTAGAGGGAACAGCCAGGGGAAAGACAGGTGGGAGAGCGCCTGGCCCTGACGGGAGCCTCATATGACATACAGATCCTTGTGCGCAAGGTAGGGTGGGAATTCAGGATTTTATTTCAAATGAGGATGAGGCTTTGAGGGTGTTTGAGGTAGGGAGCAACATGATATGTTCTGTAACTTCCTGGGCTGTCTCTGACCCCTGTGGGAAATAGACTGAAGGAGGCTGAGGGTCTGGTTTCCAGTAGGGCTGTTCCACACATGCTCTGGGGTTGGGGGAGAGGCTGCTCAGTCCTCCCAGCTGCTTACAGCCCTTCCAGGGAGGCCAGAGTCTGTCCCTACCTGAATGTGTACTCCCTCAGGAGGAGTGTGATGGGGCTTGATTTGTCCCACCTTGCAGAACATGATTGTTGACAGAGGAATGAAACGGGATAATTTTTTTTGAAATGGGGTCTCACCGTGTTGCCCAGGCTGGTCTAGAACTCCTGGGCTCAAGCAATCCTCCAGCCTCAACCTTCTGAGTAGCTGGGACTACAGGCGGGCCACCATGCTCAGCTAGAAAGGAGTGTCTTAAAGGAAGTCTGACTCCATTGATGCTCCTTGCCCTTCTGTGCCCTCCTCCTGGCCTCACTGTGCATCCTGGTAGAGCCGGAAGTTGTCTGGCTCCACCTGTTCGCCACCAAACACACGTTTTAAAATGCCCTTGTCTCTCAACCCCTCTCAAACCTGCTAGACCTAGGGCAGCATCGGGGCCCCCCAGCTATGGGCCCACCTCCCCAGTCTAACCTTGGCTGGAATGCTGAGCACCCTTGGCACTCTTCCCCAGCCCAGGGCTGGGCCCCCTTCTGCTTTCAATCAGGAGGACCAAGAGGCAGAGAAACAGATTCTGCCACCACGTGCCTGGGACCTGTGGAGGCAGAGGAAGGAAGGGCAGACGGGTATGGTCCTGGGAGTGGGCCGAGGGGCTGAGGTGGTGTCCCCTCTGGCTCCCAATACTGCTAGATGCAGTCTGTGGAGGTTGGGGTGGGGTGTTCACTCGTGACAAATCCTGAGCACCTGCTGTGTGAAGACACAGCAGCTACCAAGGGAGAGTAGGAAAGATGGCAATTTTAAGTAGGGTGGTCAGGGATGACCTCCCTGAGAAAGTGACATTTGTTTCAAGTCCTGAAGGAGGTGGGACAGCGAGGATGGTTCTTGGAAGAATGTTGCAGGCAGAAGAAAGAGGGTACAGGGTCTTTGACCCTGAGCTGAAACTGTGCCTGGCTTGTCCAGGAAGAAACAGCAAGCAGGCTTTAGAAGCGGATGCCTTTCCCCTCTCACTTCTTGCTAACACACAATAAAGGCTTGTCTGGTTTATTTTCCACGTTGGCTCAAAGGTCTCTCCCTGGCCGGGTGTGGTCGCATGTGTCTATAGTCCAGCTACTATGGACGCTGAGGCAGGAGGATCACTTGAGCCCAGGAGTTCCAGGCAGCAGTGAGCTATGATTGAGCCACTCCATCCTGGGCTACAGAGGGAGACCCTGTCTCTTTTAAAAAAAAAAAAAAAGTGTGTCCCTTTTACTTTGGGGATGCTGAGCTGGCCCAGGTGTGACTTCGGACTTGGGAATAGAGTGTGGCGGTAAGGAACACAGAAAGCTCATGGAGCTATCCCTACCTCCTCCTCCCCCAAAGCCACCAGCAGCGGCTGGATCTTTAAAAAGAAACACAAGTGGGAGAAGTAGGTCGTCCCTGCAGGTGCTCAGCCTCTATTCTAGTGTCAAGAGGCAGGCAGAGCTGAAAGTCCAGGCACCTCCCTTCATGCACGGTGCCTACCAGCTCTGACCTAGGAAAAGTCTGGAGGGGGAGGAGCATCAAATGCAGGTTTTGGTGACTCACATTTCAAACTATTCTAGTGCCTGTTGGCTGTGTAATCTTGGATAAGTCACTTAGCCTTTCTCGGTTCAGGTTCTTCATCTATAAAATAGGGGTAAAATACCAAAGCATCTCTAGAGTCCAATTCTAAAGTAAGGACAATATTCATATAGTCTACTTTAACCCTGATATTTTTTAAAACAGCTTTCAGTGCTTCTCTGGGTGAGGACGTTGGCTTACGTTTGGGGGCTGTATCTGAAAAATCCTGACCTGTTAACTCGGAGTGTGGGGGGCGGCTGCAGTGTGATGAGATGTTCAGGCAGGGAAGCTGTTGAAAATTGAGAGCCCGTTTGTCTCTCATCTTAGATTCGCGGTTGGGCACAAGTTCCAGGAGTTTCTTTTTGCACTGAGCGCTGCTAGTTGAACTGAAGTAAGTTTGCCAGGCATAAAGCTGTTGGGAGAATAGAATGAGATAACATTTGGAAACCACTTGCCATGCAGAAGGTACTTAAGAAATAGGAAAACAGGAAACAGAACCCAAAAACTTGTCCTGATTCAGCACTCAAATCCACCAGCTTGGGAAAGGAAGAAAAGACTTCTGTGACCACACGAGGGAAACTGTTCTGCAACAACTCCTCCAAGGCGTGTGCAGGGTCGCTGGAAACTTGCCATGTTAAAAACAGACGGTGAATATTAACAAATTGTCTTCTGCATCCCAAGCTCGCTCCCCATCTTACCCTTATCTGGGGCAGCCCCCACGCTTGCCCAGAAAGCTCCTACCGCCACGCCTCCCCAGGAATCCCCTCAAAGCCAGCCCCAGCCCCCAATCTCACTCTTCCTTCTGCTCAACATGCACCTCGGTAGGTATACAAACCCTCCCCCCATCTGATTCTCAGCCGGAGCCCCAAAGCGCCCCAACCCAGGCGTGTGGCCTGACGGGATTTGTAGTTCCAGGGCTCACGGGGGGGGCGGGGGCAGCAACCGGAGGTGAAGGAGGCTTTTGCGCATGCGTAGGTGGCGGCTTTCCGCACGTGTCTCTCAACTCAGGTTTCTGTCCAGCAGAGCTGGCTGCAATGGGAATCCCAGCTTGTCTTGCGCGACTCTCCGAGTGGAGTTAGGCGCCAGCCGACCCTACCCTAGCTTGGGAAGCCCCAGTACTTGCTTTTCATGAATGAACGGAGCCGGGACTGACTTTGCATATGGGAAATGGGCTGAGAAAGCTGTCCCGCTCCTTTAGGCAGGAGCAAAAATTGACCTGCGCCTCTCCAGAGGGTCAGAAAGTCCGTCAGGGCGGGACTGGGTTGTCCTTTGGGATTAGAGCCCCAGTAAATATTGGTTTAGGGAGGGGATGAATATAGTGAAAGGATAGCCTTGAGTCTCGCTGGGTAAAAGCCAGTTTTTAAAAAAACAATTTAGGTCTGGCCAGGTATTGCTTAACTGGGATTATCTCTAACCGAGAAACTATTCTTACACCCAATAGACAAGTGGGGAAATCGAGGCTCCGAGTGGCAGGCAGTCGCCTACCTTGTTATCGGCGGGGCCAGGAGGGGAAACTGGGACGTTCCAGCTCTTTCCTAGCCACTCTGTTTTCAAGAGAAGGAAAAACGGTGCCCTCCTGTCTTCAGACCACGCCAAGATCACGAAGATTTCTTTCTTCATGACCCTGCCATAAGTTTTCCGGGCTGTTCCACCTCATTCAATTTAAGGTAGGGAAGGGGATTAGATTTGCTCCAAAGTTCATTTTATTAATTTCATTTTATTTAAAATTTTATATCCTTTTGATGCTGAAGAATAAGGAAGGAAAAAAAAATTTCTATCCTTGTGGTTATTTTGATCTTCTTTTAAAAACTGTCAGTATCGGAAGATAACACAGAATGTGGCCGAGGCTTCTGTAGGAACCCAGCCCATCTCAGGCACTCCCTTTGTCCTGCTTTCTTTCCTTTGTGTCTGGGGGTATAAAGTCCACCCAGGCTCAGTCCCTCAGCTCTTTCCTTGGTATTCCTACCAAGTACTTCTGGAGGGGGAAGGGAGGCACAGTTCAGTTTTTAGAGGAGGGGGTGACAAGGGCACCGGTGACTCTGGCCGAGAGGTTCCCGAGTGCATCACACGAGCGAGTCCCTACGGCGTGGGGCCTACGCAATACAAACTCCAGGCTCCAGCGAAGAGCTGCGATCCGGCCAGCTTGAGATGCTAAGGAAACGAGTCGTTGGGAGGACCGCCAGGCTAGAGAGGCCCAACGGGACTGCAACTCTTTTGTCACGTGACCCGGCCCAGGCTGGGTCCGGGTTTCCCCAGTGCCGGACCACGTGTGATGGCAGAATCTTCCGATTGGTTCAGCGGGACAAGTTTGAACAGAGTACGGAAGCCGCCGCGGCTCATCTGCGGCCGCGTGTTTTTTTTTTTTTTTTTTTTTTTTTAATTCCCTCTCTTTGGCTCCCTCCTTTCGCGTGAGTCTCTGGAGAAGCCTCAGCGCGAGGCGCCGCCGCTGCTGCCCGGGGCCCGGTAAGTGGGCCTCATTCAGAGTCCGACCTGCTCGGTCCCGGCTTGTATCGACCCCCGCCGGGCACCGGGCCTGCGCCGCGCGCGGCCTGGGCGTCGGGGCCGCGCCCGACCCGAGAAGGCCGGGAACCCGGTTGGGCCCGATCGGCGAGGCAGCGAGAACGGGCCGGGCGGGGGAGGGGGAGAA